CTTTAACAAATTAGACTACAGACCAAACTTCATAAAAATTCAGCAAGTAATTTATGAAATAAGAGAGTGACTCCAAACGGAATCGTCAGTCCATAAAGAGTTAATTACTCAAACCTATTTTAAAATATACTATAGATAGCGAATCGAAAATTTATTAAGATGTATAATGTATGTACACGAAAAAAAACGGCTGCGGTTGCCACAACCAAAAGTCGTTCATCAATACATTTTTTGGTTATAAGAACTGTAGGACGATTGTGATAATTGTAAGATTGGCATATCTTAACGATTATGGCTGTAAAGAAGAATACGTTTATCTTACGATTATCACAACCAGATGTATTGATGGGCGAAACTTATCATTACTTTCGGTTATGGCTATCGTAACATTTTTCTGTACGCGAAATTTATTTTTTAATTATTAAATAAATAGGATTAAGTAAATAAAATAACAGATAAATAGGACTGATATCGTGTTATAGAGTATAATTTTTCTGACGGAGTTCGTGGACATGTAGAATGGACTAAACTGAGATGGAAAGTCCTTTACTATTTTGCAATTTTCGCAACAGTTAATAAGATATTAATTGCTAAAAATTGCCGAAAATTGCCGAAATCTACAATTTTTTACTCAAGTACTATCTTTACTAAGTACAACTTTACAGAAAAACTGCAAGAGACAAAAATTGTTTATTTTCTTTTCATAGAATTCTATGAATTTTGTTAGAATTTTTTCAGAATTTTTTAATATTATATTTTCTTACATTGATAAAAATGAGAAAATGCAATACTAAAAAGTGATAAAAATTCGTAGAGTTCTATGAGATGAAAATAAACAATTTTCATCTCTTGTAGTTTTTTTGTAAAGTTGATAGTATTTAAGTAAAAAATTATTGAAGATCAATTTTCGGCAATTTTTAGCAATTAATATTTTGTTAATTATATTTTGCGAAAATTGTAAAATTGTAGAAGATTTTCCGTCTTAGTTTAATCCGCTCTACTGCCGAAAACTGCCGATCTTTTGCGCATTTCCGTCGTTCTCGAGACCGTGTACAGAAAACACCGAAGAATTTATCGTTATTTATATAACTGCCTGCTAAAAGCACAATAATTCATGTAAATAATTCATGAAAAAGAGAGAAGGAGAGACATATGGAAAGGATTACATATCGACGAGATTTTTTTCTCTGAGGATCAGCTATTTTGTATGATTCTGTATATATCAATCATTTAGGTTTATCATACGTAGGCTCTAAGTAACATATTGTAGCGTAAGTTTACAATTGTGCGATTTTTTACTTAAATACTATCAACTTTATAAAAAAACTACAAGAGATGAAAATTGTTTATTTTATTGTATATTCTCTAAAATAATAATTATATATATTCTCTAAAGAAGATCTTAGCAAAAATAAATTTGTATAACATTTCAAAGTAATTTTTAGGTAACTCTCCCTTTGTCTAATTTTAATAATAAATTTTAAAAATCACTTTAAAATTTTATACAAATTTATTTTTGCTAAGATCTTTAGAGAATATATAATTATTTTATATAGAATATTATAATTATTTAAATCATTTTATTTAACAATGTCTTAAAAATAATCATTTTTAAATCATTGTCAAATTAAATGATTCAAAAACAAACAAAAAAAAAGTTGATTTTACACAAGTAAAAAATAATATTTACCGCAAGGTTGCTCCACTGGTGCCTGATGTCTCTCCCAGACTTCCTCCTCCTCTCAGAATATGATTAACATCTCGCACAGGACACTCGCGTAAAACACTCGCGAATAATAAAATATAATCGCGCGCGGATTATAACTTGAGTCCGATAACTTGAACGGCACTCTCGAAACGCGCGACGCGACGAACCGGCTGCGATTCGTTCATTCTCAAGTAAATCGGCGACGAGGGTACATTAGCTTCCCCCCCCCCTCCCCCCCGTTGGATTTTTACACGAAGAGAACGATTTTACTCAATATCTAAAAATTTATCTAGATATATTACATTCAAATATATCCGAAAATTTTTAGATATTTAAGAAAAAAACGTTCTTTTCGTGTAAATATCCTCTGGATACTGAGCCCTTCCACCACGTCAAGGTGTACCCGTGAGAGGGAAGATAATCTAAAAAATGTAATATATAGCTATTATCTATATTACACTATGCAATCGATTAACTTTTAGAAACTTTTAGAAACGAATATCACATTAGCAATTCATTATCATTGCGAAATAAAGTCAGAGCAGATAAAAGAGCTGAATCTTTTATTTATACATAGATGATGTCTGTAAGATATGATTAAAGTCTAGAATGAAATAAGTTAGAGATTAATAATAAAAAAGAGAAATGTTTCTTTTATTACCAATAAATAGTTACGGTTAATTTTTAAACGGATCTCCGTATAGGATCGAAAGGTGCACACAAAGAATTTATTAAATTATTAAACTATTCATTGTAGAAGCAGGAATTGCGATTTTTTTTTGTACGAGAGTATTCATATTAACATTGCTTTTTTATGATTCGTGTGTGATACCGTTCGTATAGACAAGTAGCAATTCAAGAAATAAAACGTAAATCGTATAATAAAGCATCGTTTAATATTCATCGAGGAATATTAAAACGAGATTATTTTACTAATTTTGTAATACGTATTAATGGTAATATTTCGACAGTTAGACGATCGGCGCTCACGACCTTGAAGTGGAGATGGCACGAGGTGGCACGGAGTGGCACGGAGCGGCGCGTAAACTACGCGCCGCTCCGTGCCACCCCGTGCTATCTCCACTTCAAAGTCGCGCGCGCCGATCGTCTAACTGTCGAAATATTACCATTAATGCGTATTACAAAATTAGTAAAATAATCTCGTTTTAATATTCTTCGATGAATATTACACGATGCTTTATTATACGATTTATGTTTTATTTCTTTACGCACAATTTATCTATTCGTTACGCATACAACTCATCTATACCTTAGGCCGATATTCATAATGTCAGAACTTATATTTAAGACCGTCTTAAGTACAATTTTAAGAAGTCACGAATCAGAGGGCCGTATTAATGTCTTAAGACATTACTTAAGACAGTCTTAAAATAAGAACGGACTATGAATACCGCTCTTAGATATCTCTAATTTATATATCTCTGTAAATGTGTAACATGAATTCTATTATACCCATTATTATATTTATGTGTTATATGAAAATGTTTTATAATTTAAAAAATGTTTGCGTTTATCTTTATCTAAAGAATGTATAACTTACTATTAATTTTTATTTGAATGTAAATCATCAAAGAGAGTAATAAAAATTGAGATATAACTCTTAGTACACACCTTAGTTTTGAGTAATATTACTATTTATGAATATCTAATTTTCGTAGATTAATGCGCAACACCGGAGCGATTCAAGCCACACGTCCGCCTCGCTGCGAAGTCGCCAAGCGAATGCCGAAGTGATGACGTAGTCGACTACCGCACCGTGCCCCCCCTCGCTTTCGCCGCGCGACCCACCGCTTTTCGCTGCGCGACCCTTTCCCCCCCCCCATGTTTTTCACCGTCCGCTGTTTACATTATAGCCAACTTGCGTACGAAAAATATCAACGGTTTATTCAATTATTCGTATTTTACATGATTTTGACGACGAATTTATCGCCGTACATTTCGCGTTTTGTTTTGTGGCATCTCGAGTACAATCCTATATTACTTGCATCATTCTTTTAAACGAATTAATAATTATTCGCGTGAGATATTTTTGATACAATTTAATCCAACATTATATCTCAATTTTCATAATTCTTTTTAATGATTTATACTTAAATAAAGGTTTAATATAAAATATTCCATATATGTTCTTTATATTGTATAAAGATACATGCATTTTCTTAATATCGTGAAACAATTTTTACTAAATATATCTTTAGCTAAAAGTACTAATATATCTTGTTAATTATTATTTAATTTTCAACTAAAAAATTAATTTATGCTGCTACTATTGCTGCAAATTATTATGTTTCAAAAATTATTTAAACTTATGTACAATGCCGATCATGGCTCGATAAAATAACTGTTACGGTTTATTTAAAAAATATAATAAAAAATATAAAATATGTTTTAGAAACTTATTTAAAATATAAAATCGTAGGAATCGGTAAAAAAACTGATAAGTTTATTTTAAAATAAAAAATAAAAAATAGATTCGTGGGAACATATTTAAAACACTAAATACGAAATAAGTCAGAAGTGTAGTTATTTAAAATAATAAATACTAAATAACTCTTTTATATTTTTTATTTAAAATATATACTTTAAATAATTTTATTTAACTCTTAGTACACACCTTTTGTTTTGAGTACTCTTTCTATACATGTTGGGTCATTTCATGGATTAATTTTTATTATTTTTACAAGTATATAAAAATTATTAAACAATTTTTACGTATATTTTTTTTACATATATTTTTCTTTAAAAAGTATTTGTAAAGTATATTTATAACAAATTGTATATGCTCCTTATGGAAATAAATCAGGTATTCCTGATTTATGATGAAAGTAAATCACTGAAATCGCTGAAACAAATCTATCAAATTAATAGAGATTTTAATGATTTCAGCGATTTATTTTCATCAGGAGCACTGAAAAAAATGGATATTGTTGTGCAGTTTACATCCACTTCTTCAGAATACAGTAGTGCGTGGAAACATTTTTGTGGTTACAGGAAAAAAGCTCTTATGTTTTCTCTCAGGTTTCTCTCGGTACTGAAAATCTATAATTCACGTTACGTACGCTATATATATAGATTTTCAGTACTGATAATGCATATCAGCTAGTAACATAGTAGACATTACATCCTTGTTTGTCAATATTAAATAAGAATAATTCACTGTATTGCACTGAACCTTTTCTGGAAAACGTCCTTTGTCATTTCCATCATGATATAAATTTT